TAGCACAAGTAATATTTTATGACTTTCATCTTGCCCACATAGCGATTCGCTGAAAACGATTTTACATAATTAAAGTAAAGCTTTTCACGCATGTGCTGTTCCGTCGAATAATGCAAGTCCAGAAGTTTCGCGGACATGTACAATAGAAGAGAGACGAATCTGTGAAAGTGTAATATAATTCTTCTCTCTGTTCTATTCTACCTCTTTCTAAATGCAAATTAGAACAAACGATACGATCGACGATTCGATAATACAGGAAGAAATATACAACTGGTTTCTTGGTCACTTCTCTCCTTTGCATCCGCACCTTTTATTCAACTGAAAGAAGTAAAACTTGGCGAAACAGCAAAGTACAGGACGTGCGTATCAAAAAATTATATTGAAGAGCGTACTTTTAAAATGACATGCAAATTGCAATTTCCCGCCAGATCAAACGTACAAAAATTCGAATTAATAGGTACAGGTAATTAAAGCTTAGCTGAGAAAATCGCGCGCTCGTATCACTCGCGGTGATCTCGCTGCGGCGTTATTTTTCCGTTCCTTCCGTCGAGCGATGCAAACTACCGAAAAATGCGACGTGTCATCCGATAAAACAAGATGAAGCAAAATAGCCGGCGCCGCTTTTTCTTTTCTTCTTGAGCCTCGCGCCACGGCAATGCGGTCGACGATAGGCCGAGCCGATAAAGAAGAATCTTAACGAGGGGTTGCGGCGTGGCTTAAACTATACGCTTATACAGGTCGGCTGGCTGGGCGGCTTGCGGCGCGAAGAGGTCGACCGGTTATTAGAACGAGGAGCACGAGTTGTGCCGGGAAGGTGTCTAATAGCCCGCCAAGAGTACAATCGCCCTCGAAGGTTTCGGCGCGGGGTACGTACTTTACATACATTTGCATCCCGCCGCCACAAATCCGACCGATCGCGGAAGGCTAAGGGCGGGTAACGCGCACGGTGGCGTCTCTATCTTGGCGAGCCACCCGAAAGGGGCCATGCTAAGAGGTGTAGAATCTTTAATCCTTTTCGGTTGCTTTTTCGTCCAAGTGAGCGATAATTTAAATTTCCGACCGCACTTCTGGGCGACGTATTCTTGAAACTTACAGCCAAACGAGAATATCGAGTTTCGGAATGACCGGATTTATGCGATTTAATCGATACGAGGAACTAGTACAGATATTTCAGTGTAACGGCAATTAATGTTTCATTTCAGACGTTTTTATTATCGAAATATCTTTCGAGGTGCTATTTTCCGAGGGATATGTGTGTCAATTTTATATTTAATTTTTGATACTGATGCGCAAAAAACTGAATAGCAAAAGACAATTAGTTCTCTTGCCTTAGTTCGGTACGAGAGGAGAGAAAGAAAAAGAAACTAACAATTCGATCGATATAATTAAATAATTATAAATGATGATTTCATTTTCATGATTTCATGTAATGATCTCATGAATAACCATATTTAACTATATACATACTTTCTCATGTCGTTTTGCTTTAGCGCTCTAACACAATTATTATGATTTCGTGATTGCACAGTTAATTAAGAGTAATTGACTTCGTGATTATCATACTTGCATATTCCGGATATGTACACGCTACGTGACAAATTCAAATTTTAACGTATCGATCATACCCGACAAAATAAAATGCTCTCTGTAAGAGAAATGCATTTATCAGATGTAATATTCAAAATAATCTTTGATATCATATACATAGAGCCAAATTAATATACAATTCATGTAATCTCGATCAGAAATAAAAGTTGATGATTGAAACGCGCATAAAATGAGACAATGTAGCTTTTAACGGGATATCATTTATTCCAACCTCAAATATATCGACAAAAAAATAAAAATATCTCATCTAAAGATCTATACAAAAACGAAAATAGAAATAAAGTCGAATTGTTACAACGAAAATATACATCCGGATATGTAGGACGTACATTCTTTTTTTCGTTTGATATTTTTATATTTTTCTGACAATAGTAATTTTTGAATGTAACGTCTGTCATCCATAAAATTTATTTAAATTTTTTCAAACTAATAGGTAAGACGTACGAATGTGCGGGCAAATAGAGTATACGTGATTGTAAAATATACTCGCTGTTGCAGTCGCTGACGCGTCGAATTGTATCGCATAAACGTAAAAAAAGAAAAAAATTAAATGAAATTTTTCTCGCGGAGACAAATGCTTAACGGCGCATCTGCCCATGAATGTACGCCAGTCTCACTTAAATCCTAGTTAACGTGAGCTCCGCAATGTATCAATGGGACACTATCTGTGGGCTTGTTAAGCGATATAAATCAGCGACCTCAGTTGAGGTATTTATGGAGATGCATTAGCTTTCCGCGCAAGAGTATAGAATGCCAGCATTTATTTGGTAATTTCCGGCAGTCCGATATTCATCTCCCGAACGTTATTGCGCCCATGGTCCGACAGAGCTGACCAACGCGCCCGATCTCCTCAGATCAGGAATCGCGTCAGACCTTCGTCAGGTCAGCCGTTCATTCGGGTCAGGCGATAAGAATATAAAATACGTTCGTTAAATTAGAAAGTATCATATAGGACCAGCTGCTGAATAATAAATCTACGATAATAATAGTAATAAAGCTACAATATAATCATCGAGTCGGATCAAAGGAATAAGGAAAAGTAATGTATTGTCCGCACGTGCGCATTGACGGTTTAGTAATATGAAAATCTTGAAAACATCCTAGTAGACAATGATAATCTCATTATTTAATTAGAGATTAATAATTCATAGTGACAGTGAGATATATTGTACCAAGACGTAGGGTCGCGTTGTCCTATAAAGCGGAGAAAGGATAATGTCATTTCTGGACGAGGGGAGAACTGGTTGATTAGGGTGAAGATCAGCCTTGCGGAGCTTATGATGTTGTACACTGTGGTGTTCCTCGGCGAGCCGCGAAACAAATAATCAAGGATTGAATATCGGTGTCTTGTAGTAGCAATCACGGCTTCCTCTAGAGGTACCTACGGTGTCCGCTAAGACGACCGTAGTTGGCGAAGTTTGACAAGTTGGCGGTAACAGGGACGGTGGTACCAAGTGCCAAGAAAGTTCCGAGGAAGGATCAGTTGATGCATAGTCGCGGGAAGAAGGATGCGCCCTGCCAGCAAAGGACGTGTTCCGCGGGACAATCGCGAGTTACGTATACATGGAAAACGCTGAATCCGCCGGTGCTTAGTCGAGTTTCGCAAGGACTAGTCGAGGATCCTGGGAGTTTCTGATGGCGCGGGTTACAAATTCACGAGCAATCCCGAACGCACGATTTGCTCGCAAATATTTGTCGGCAGCAGTCCTTGAATCATTCCCGGGATTCTCATTCCCTGCTCAATTTCTCTATCTCTTCTTGCCCCCTCCCTCTCTCTCTCTCTCTCTCTCTCTCTCTCTCTCGCGCCCTTTCCCTTCTTCGCGTTATGAAAACTAGAAATTGCGCGCAATGAGTTTAATATGTCCGTTTGGAAGTACGTTTGGAAGAAGAGACGCGCGAGAAACTTGGTAGTCTCGTTTCTATACGGAGGATTTTACAGCTGAGGATTGTTTAAAAGTCACTTTCTTCATATGCAGCTATTTTTCATACATTTCTTTTTCTTTACGTTACGCTCAGGCAGTTCAAAGCTGAGTGCACAAATATCGGAACTGTGCGCATGTCAAGTTGAAGCCATTTTGGTTAATGAACAACCTTAATATAGGTCACCTTTTGCGGCCATTTAATTTTCAGTGACAAAAGTCAATAATTAATATCGCAGTGAAAATTCCACCAGTTTCTCAAATATAAATTAGCTAAATTGATTCACTAATAAGAACTCTCGCGCACGCTTCTCCTTGGAGAATCTCTTTATACCTTTGACGTTGCGTACAATCTGACAAACAATAATAACATCATGAGAGCAAAAGTGGCCTGTAATACGACAGAGTTCCTACCAAAGAAATTTTGTCACTTATCCAAGATAAAGCAAATGGACACGCTGCACAAACTTGGCACACTCAAAGAGTGGCGTCGCATTGCTGCTCATCAGTGAAATTGCGCCAGTTATGACGCTGGATGTGTCAGTTTCTTCGTGTAACATAATAATGTACATTAAGTGCAAAGGGCAACGTAGAAAGCATCTGTAATTTGTGAACAAACGAGAATAATGCTGCAAATATACAGCATTATATACATCCGGCGCGTATGATGCGGCACTTTTTTTGTTTTTTCGCTCTTCTTTTTATTCACGACGAACGTCGGAACACTTTTCTCGATTGAAGCTTGCAATATTTATGATTTTGTTGTTAATATGGTAATAGAATGCATGAGTTTTAGCCGGTGCCAATAAAAACCGATATTACGTCATATCCGTATACGCAGAAAATATCTATCTATACTGACAATGTAACGCGATCATAATGTTTTCGGAAAATCTCAGAAAGTTTCATATACAAATAACTAAATTCTAATTATCTAATAACTAAATTTTAACTACCCAATACACAAATTTAATCAATAATTGCGATGTTGGGTAATTCTAAATTAATCTCATTAATGCGATTTCAAGAGCTTTTTATATCGTAGTTCGATTTAGTTTCATTCTATATCGTGCGATTGTTGCCTAGAATTTCGTTTTACAGCATACGAGATAAACTAACTAACGGAATAAAAGAGAAGTTTGTAATAAATTATTAATTTTGTCTGATATGAAGGTTACTATCGGCGTTAACACCGTAGAGATAAATCAAACTCTCGAAAGATCCATAGCGGGATTATATATATATATATATATATGCATCAGCTACGTTTAAGCTATTAATTATATACTTGACTCGCTGCTCATTTTACTCGTTCTATGCGAGTTTTATATAACGCTGAATTTAATTATCGCTCTGCTCGTTACACTGGCACTTTAGCATGTTCAAAATTCATCACAGCTCATTCTTCCGATCTAAGTGGACGGCAAGAGGACAACTTCTCTCGGAGAAGAATTAATAGATCTTGATCTTTACCAACAACTTCGAGAAATCCAGTGATGCTGGACATCGGGTCAGTATTGACCTGGCACATGTACCAACCGCTGTCAGTCTTCCGCGTGTCTTTTATGTGAAGAGACCACGTTCGATGGCCACTATGTGTCACTGCGATCCGATGATTCTTCGTGATAACGTGACTCGCTATCGTCAGAATTGTCTGCGTATCGACACGCAGCCACGCTACCTGCAACACAAGTCGAATAATAAACGGTTAAATAATACATCGTGTACAGACAGAGCTAGCCACTACAAAGTTAATAATGAGTTATTCCGGTCAACAGGATTGCATATGAACTTTGGGCGTACTGCTCTCGCGCGTAAAGTGCACTTTATATTTTACTTTTATCTCCACTCGGCACTTGTAACATAGATTAACGTGTGTAACACGCGCTACGTCGCTCTGAGACTCGATGTCTTGTTCACATCGAGTTTATGCAACACGTAAAATAAATAAATTTTCATACTATATGCCCGAGATGTTAAAAATGCAGCACGAGTAGGAGCTGCATATTACGCGCAGAGAGGCGGTTTATTACCCCTCCAAGTATTTTAAGAGTTCTTCGGCAAGATTTCGAAGTGCGAGAAAGTTTTATGTAAATACACACGAAGTGCAACGCCTGCCCAGATATAAATCAATTCGCGCTGACAGTTCAGACGAATGATCGTGAAAAGAAAAACGGCGAGAATGTCCAGAAAGTGTAAAAGTAGCGGCGTTACTCGACAATAATGGAATTTTTTTCCATTTCGATCTCGCGCTGCTCCGCTCCCGGCTACAATTAACATATTTAATCTCATCCGCCGTATGCGTGTGAGAAAACATTATTTTCGCTTAAAAATATTTCACCTGTGCTTCAAATCGAAAATATCTCACGATTGTAATTATTGTTGTTATTTGCAATTATTTACAAATCTGGCTTCCACGTTGAGGTATCGTCGACGGGATGAATAGAGGTATTAAACGAAATTTGTGAAAATTCTCTTTAATGTCGAGCGAAAAACGATCATGCATCCAGCAAGTATTTCAAAACACATGTTTCAGTATGTGCGAAATTAAATTTTCGAGACACGGGTTTCTGCCCCGCTTTCCAGCCGCACTATCATATTCAGAGTGATAACAGACGCGAAGCCAAGTAAGCACTATGTACCACTTCGGCCTGTTGCAGACAGCGCGGAGGAAGTTAATATTTTAACGTATCGTGTTGTAAGAGGGATTTACCTTGCAAGATTCGTTTAACGAGTAAAACGAAAAAGGAAATTATGGCCGATAAATAATTTCCAAGCGGCTGCATTATGTACAACAGGTAGCACCGCTTCGATAAAGGATAGTGGCAAAGGTGCATTATTATTTCACATTAAGTAACGATTATATGAAGCGGTCTAATAATCAGGACGCGCAGAATTATCAGGAGAATGTATCATTATTCGATGAATTACGTAAGGTCTTTGTCTCTCTCTCTCTCTCTCTCTCTCTCTCTCTCTCTCTGCTCGCTCGTACATTTTCGTCGCTTTTTACGAGTCGCAGAACCACGTTTCTCGACTTTGCTCGTGCGTTAACATCGCCCGCGTGATAGCCAAATAATGCCCAAAGGTGTGTCAGAGCTATAAGTGTCAAGCTATAAAGTTATCGTAGTCAAGTACCAAGTCAAAGGGAATAATAATATGCGCGACCCAGTTACCGCTCCACTGTCTTGTACCATTTCCCAGTAAAAGCGATTCTTCTTTTATCTGATCCAATAATCGCGGAGCACGGTGACTGCACTTTGAAACATACCTATCGCTTTGTAGATCGCGTCGCAACCAAGCCGAGATATCTCATTAAAAAAATAGATAGCATTCGTCGTACTTATTCTTTGCGACGGAGAACGATGGAAAAAACGACAAAGATCTCGGCGGGACGACGACGACGACGACGACGATGCCGCCGCCGCCGTCGCCGCCGCCGCCGCCGCAACCGCCAACGCCACCGCCGCACGCGGTTTTATTTATGAATGTCCGTTACGCGAGTTTTCCGCCTTTCCTGATGCGCCATTCCCATCCGCGGTAGCCAACATTCACCCCTCTCACAACCACCGTCTTTCCAGTCCTCATCGCGGAAGCTGTCAACGCGTCTCATCGTCCAAGTACTACCGACAATGTGCTCGACGCTTACCAACTACGCTCGTAACATAAAGAGAGAGGAGATGGCAAAAGCTCGAGAGAGTGAGAGAGAGAGAGAGAGAGATTGGGAGAGAGAGTGAGAGAGAGAGAGAGAGAGAGAGAGAGAGAGAGAGAGGGAGAGTGGAACGAAAGAGCGAAAAAGAGGAAGCACAAAAAAAAAATACTTCTTGTTACGCCGAAGTCGTAATACACTCGACGCCGTTTTAGAGCGCGCGTCGTCTAGTCGGCCCGTAGGCGATGTGTGTCGCGCACAGTTGCAACCGCCACGTGCCTCGTGTGCGCCGGACAGACAGAGAGAGGCGGTCTAGTCGCGAAGAACGACTGAACGTGGAAAAGGGAGGACGTTTTCCAGAGAGAGCGAGAGACTCGAGGGCGAGGGCGAGGACGGAAAAGCGGTGGTTACGTCCGCTCGGCAAGAAAGAAACCCGGAAAAGAAGGTGCCGGGGCGTACGAGCGGATGGCGAAGAAAGCGGCGGTGAAGCGCGCGCGTACGACGGTTGGGGAGGGCGAGGGCGGTTGTAAATTGTGTGCGCAAGACGGGGGTGCAAAAGCTCTCGAGGTTGATAGAGGAGACGTGTGCACTGCGCTCTCTCTATATGCATACATACATGCGTCTTTTCCTATCCCCTTCCCCCTTCTCACTCACTCTCTCACTCTTTCTCTCTCTCTCTCTCTCTCTCTCTCTCCCCCTCTCTCTCTCTCTCTCTCTCTGCTGCAAAGAAAGTACCGGTATCCGAGGTGCATACGCGCGTTACGTACGCGCGAGGAGCCCCTCATGCGTATTATGCGCGTCCTCGCGCGCATATGGGCGCGCTTAACGGAAGCGTGTCATTCTTTTCCTGCGCGGTCGTGCCGTAGCTCTCCGTCGCAACGACTCGTCGTCGGAGCAATTACTCAAGTTCGTGTATGACCGAAATGCAACTGGGGAGCAGCGACGCGACGCGACTCGACTCGACGCGCTGTGCCTCGCGCTTTTACAAATGATTCGTTTCGCGGTAACGATATAATTGCACGTCGCTGTAATCTCGCCGTGCGCCTCGCGTCGGCGGCCGCGGGCGCGCCTGAATAAACGCCGGCCGCGGAAATCTCTCTCGTTCTCCTTCTCCCTCTTTCTCTCGCTCTCTCGCTCTCTCGCTCGCTCGCTCGCTCGCTCTTCTCCCCTTCTTCTCTTTTCGCGTCCGCCGCCGACGGAGTTCTTCCGTATAGCGTATCCTTTTTTCGTTTCGCGCACTGTGTTTCCTGCTTTGGACGTGCCGCGACCACCCGGTCCGCCGTGAAAGCGGCGAGAGGAAATCAGAACTCGGCAGCAACTCTTTATTTTCGTTTACGTCAGTCGGTTGCACGATACTTGTGTATACCTACCTACCTACCTACCTACCTACCTACCTACCTACCTACCTACCTACCTAACTTTTTTTACTCGCGGATTCTTCTCTCAGCACCCCCGACCATCCGTCGCACCTTTCCTCTTCACCTGCCCCCTTTTCACCCCTGCCCACTCCCTTTCCCCGCTGCACCTTCGCCTCATCTCTTTCAGTTGCACAGCGAGCGCGAAAGGTATCCGCGGGTAGTTCTTTAATTTCGCGAGATATCTTCCCGTGGCACGAGCGCTCCTGCGCGACTCGGACTCGCGCTGAAAAATGACCCCGACAAGTTCTCCTCGAGGATGTACCGTATCCTGGCGGCCGGACGATCGCTCATCCTTTCTCCTTCGATTTCTCTTCCGTTCGCGTGCACTCGCGTAATCATTGCCAGCCATAGTCAACGGTGGACAAGTCCACGCGACGAGCTTGAATATTTCGGTGCGACGATAATAAAATGCCGGCGAAACTTTGAGATGCACATTCCGCTAATACGGTATTTCAAAAGAAGTCCCTTCGGAGCGAGCAATTTTTTACGTGTATCATTACAACGTGTATCATTATCGATCTGGATACGATCCTTGTGTTAAGATTTTCACAAGCATCTTTAATTGTCGATTGTTGGTCGATTGTTTTCAGTACACAACAACAATAGACGACCGATTGACACGATCTCGCGTGCACCTGCTTAATAATCGGAGGCGAATGCTGTGCAGAATCGTGGCGGCCTGGCCGCTATTTCGCGCTCGCGCTCGCGCTCCCGCTCGCGCTCGCATACGTTATCGCAAGCGCTTTTGAATGATTAAATTTCGCTTGCGTGTAATATACACACCCGTCGTTAGCGTACAGCGTAACGCGCTATAGACATTGTCCCGAAAATGTTCCGTATACTTCGCACGCGCATTACATACATTCGCAATATGACGTTCTGAATGCGAGTTAATTTTGCTCATTAGCATTGTCGCCGCGGTAAAAGTTCGCCGCGTAACACTCGCGGAGAGGTGAAAATACAAAATTTTACGCGAAACCGCCGCGACCGCGTCGGGCAACAGAGATACGCGGATAGAAAGTAGCGGCATTAACATGTAACACTGATGTCATACGGCGCGCGGGGCACGATGTGAAATTAAAACTACGTTATACGTAGTTGTGTACGAGCGCGACTCTTACGCGATATCGCTGGAATATCGTTACGTCTAAAGAGGTCTTTAGATGTTGCGCGATATGAATAAAAAATTGTGTTTCTCCACACGGGGGGTCGTGGATGTACGTGCATGTGCGCGCACGCTCGTTGCACACCCGTACATGGGCGCGTAATTACTCGCGACCCGCGATCGATGGCTTGCGATAAGGCGAGAAAAAAAAGTAGCAAGGCGGTGGTGATTCGTATTTATCCGTCTGCGCGGATACGGCGGCGGCGGCGGCGGTCGTGTAGGTGCGTTCAAATATTTTAACAGAATACGTACGTCGATGGCGGCGAAAGGTGAACGTTTTTCCGATACGGTAACTTATCCAACGGCGGGAACTGACTTTCGCTCGTTGCTGCTTGCCCATGTCGATAACCCCTGCGAGATTCTCAACATCGCCGGCGATTTGATAAATTCGGTCGAGAGACAGCAACACGAGAGAGAGAGAGAGAGCCATCCGTGATCCAAGCGTGATTCGT